TTTTTTACCAAGCTTGATCTCAGGAACGCTTACCATTTGGTCCGGATCAAGGAAGGGGATGAGTGGAAAACAGCGTTTAAAACACACATTGGACATTTTGAGTACCTGGTCATGCCCTTCGGCCTTTGCAACGCCCCAGCAATATTCCAAAATCTGATAAATGATGTACTCCGGGATTTTTTGAATGTCTTTGTTTTTGTCTATCTGGACGACATTCTAATCTTCTCCAAATCATTCTCAGACCACCAGGTCCACGTCCGCCGAGTCCTACAACGCCTCCTGGAAAACAACCTCTTTGTGAAAGCTGAGAAATGTGAGTTTCACACACGTTCCATCACTTTCCTTGGTTACGTCCTCGGGGGTGGGCAGGTGAAGACAGATCCAGAAAAGATCAAGGCAGTAAAGGATTGGCCCATTCCAGAGTCGAGAAAACAACTGCAGCGATTTTTGGGTTTTGCTAATTTTTATAGGCGGTTCATTCGCAATTTCAGCATTCTGGCAGCCCCATTAACTACTCTCACCTCCACTAAGCAGATTTTCCGTTGGACCAAAGACGCAGACCAGGCTTTTCTGTCCCTTAAGCAGAAATTTGTTGATGCTCCCATTCTGGTTACACCTGACAGCAAGGCCCAGTTCATTCTGGAAGTGGATGCCTCCAACACTGCGTGGGGGCAGTCTTGTCTCAACGTTCATCTGCTGATCAGAAGCTCCACCCCTGTGCCTTCTACTCCAAGCGTTTCACCCCCACTGAAGGCCGGTATGACATAGGGGATCGAGAGCTTCTGGCCATCAAGCTTTCCTTTGAGGAGTGGAGGCATTGGCTCGAAGGTACCGAGTTACCAGTAATCGTTTGGACTGACCACAAAAATTTGTCATATCTACAATCGGCCAAGCGTCTAAATCCCCGACAGTTTCGTTGGTCACTGTTCTTCTCCCGTTTTAATTTTGTTATCACTTACAGGCCAGGCACCCGAAATGTCAAGCCAGACGCTCTTTCACGCCAGTTTTCACCCGACGATCCCTCTGAAGCCCCAGAACCCATCTTACCGGCCACATGTTTGGTGGGCAGTCTCACCTGGGACATTGAGAGACAGATCCACAAGGCCCAGGAGACTGAACCAGACCCGGGTGGGGGTCCCCCTAACCGACTCTATGTTCCCGCAAGTGTCCGGTCCCAGGTCATCCGGTGGTCACACTGCTCCAGGTTCTCCTGCCACCCAGGGGTGAGTCGTACCATAGCCTTTGTTCGCCGTTACTTCTGGTGGCCTGGCCTGAATAAGGATGTCACGAGCTATGTTACTGCCTGCACTACTTGCATTCGTAGTAAGAACTCTCACCGTCCACCTGCTGGGCTCCTGCAGCCTCTTCCAGTTCCAGCCCGACCATGGTCCCACATCGCGCTGGATTTTGTAACAGGTCTCCCCATCTCCAAAGGCAAGTCAGTCGTCCTCACTATAGTAGATCGTTTTTCTAAGGCATGTCACCTGGTCCCGCTGTCCAAACTACCCTCAGCTGCTACTACCGCTCGACTTTTGTTTCTCCACGTGGTCCGACTACATGGCATCCCATCTGAGATCCTTTCAGACCGCGGACCCCAATTCATCGCCAAAGTGTGGAAGGACTTCTGTCGCTCCATTGGGGCTGAACCCTGTTTGTCTTCTGGCTTTCATCCCCAGACAAACGGCCAATGTGAGAGGCTCAACCAGGAAGTCGAGGACACCCTCCGTTGCCTCTGTGCCGATAACCCTACATCATGGAGCCTCCACCTTCCTTGGGTTGAGTACTCTCACAATACTCACGTCTCTGCCGCCTCAGGTCTGTCTCCATTTGAGGCCTCACTCGGGTATCAACCACCTCTCCTTCCTGGCACCTTCCCCGATTCCATCACTCCCTCTGTCCGTTCTCACATGATGGCCTGCAAACGAGTTTGGAACCATACTCGGTCCGCCCTGCAGCGCACCTCAGCCCAAAACAAGAGGTATGCTGACCGGCGTCGCATTTCAGCCCCCGCATACTCCGTTGGTCAGGAGGTCTGGCTGTCATCCCAGCATTTCCCGCTCAAGGGCGCTCCCAGGAAATTGTCTCCCCGGTTTCTGGGCCCTTTCCCTATTGCTGCTATCATCAGCCCTTCAGCTGTCCGTCTGAGACTCCCTAGCCACCTTCGTGTTCACCCAGTTTTTCATGTTTCCCAGATCAGACCGGTATCCTCGAGCCCCCTGTTCCCTCCTGCCGATCCCCCTCCGCCCGCCCGGGTTGTTGATGGCCATCCCGCCTTCTCTGTGTCCCGGATCCTGAACGTCCGACCTCGGGGACGTGGTCGCCAATACTTGGTCGACTGGCTGGGTTATGGTCCTGAGGAACGCTCCTGGGTTCCTCGTTCTGCTATCCTGGATCCGTCCCTCATCCGTGACTTTGAGCGGTCTGTTGCCTCGACCTCTCGGGGTCGGCCGCCGGGTGGCGTCCGTTGAGGGGGGGGTACTGTGAGGTTCTGTGTGTGTGTGTGTGTGTGTGTGTGTGTGTGGTTCCTCGCCTCTTCTCCTCAGGTGTGACAGGCAGGCCGCACCAGGTGCCATTGATCAGAGGCAATCAAGGTGGAGCACTTAAAGCTGGCCGGAGGAGGAAAGCAGATGCCAGATGATTAAGCCACACAGCTTGGTAATCAGGTCAGCTCTGTGTTTCCTTGCGCTTCCCAGTGTTTCGCTCACAAGTAATGTTTTGTCTCGCAGTAGTCCCGACCTTCTGAGTTCCCAGGATCTCCCAGCGTCTTCCCTGAACCGTGGTGTCTGCTTCACCCAGAGCTCCTCCTGGCTGCGGTGCTTCAGCCTTTTCATCCACGCCCTGTTGGATCCTCCTCTTCTCCACCTGCCTGTCCACCCTCGAGCCTCCAGCAAAATCTCAACCTCAGCCTGCCACACTCCCACACTGGACCTCACCTCCTCTCCAAACACTCCTCGCCACGCAGACCAGTAAGCTCACCCCCTTCAATTCTTTTATCGGAACAGTCTCCTTGCTCCTCGACTCACCTTCTGTTTCCCCTTCAGAACCGCCTCTGCAAACCCGTCCAGAGTTCCTCCACCATTTTGAGAACCCGCTGAACTTTTCAATAAAACTGTTAAACTTTCTCCTGTGTCCGGGTGTGTTCGCTCCAGAGTCTCCTAGAATCATGACAATAGTCGGACGGTGGAAGGAATACTTTGAGGAGCTCCTCAATCCCACCAATGCGCATTCCGAGGAGGAACCAGAGCTGGGAGGCCTGGGGATGGACTGTCCGATCTCGGGGGCAGAAGTTGCTGAGGTAGTCAAACAACTACACAGCGGCGGAGCCCCGGGGGCGGATGAGGTTCGTCCTGGGTATCTCAAGGCTATGGATGTTGTAGGGCTGTCATGGTTTACACGTCTCTACAACATTGCGTGGTCATCGGGGGCAGTTCCTAGGGAGTGGCAGACCGGGGTGGTGGTCCCCATCTTTAAGAAGGGTGACCTGAGGGTGTGTTCCAACTATAGAGGGATCACACTCCTCAGCCTCCCTGGAAAGGTCTACGCCAAGGTACTGGAGAGGAGGGTCCGATCGATAGTTGAATCTCAGATAGAGGAGGAGCAATGTGGTTTTCGTCCTGGCCGTGGAACTGTGGACCAGCTCTATACCCTTGCAAGGGTGATGGAGGGGGCATGGGAGTTTGCCCAACCAATCCACATGTGCTTTGTGGATTTGGAGAAGGCTTATGACCGTGTCCCCAGGGGCACCCTGTGGGGGACGCTCCAGGAGTATGGGGTGGGTGGCTTTCTGTTAAGGGCCATTCAGTCCCTTTACCAGAGGAGCGTGAGTTTGGTCCGCATAGCCGGTAGTAAGTCGGACCTGTTCCCAGTGAGGGTTGGACTCCGCCAGGGCTGCCCTTTGTCACCGGTTCTGTTCATCACTTTTATGGACAGAATTTCTAGACGCAGCCGTGGTGTGGAGTGTGTCGAGTTTGGTGGCAGGAGAATCTCGTCTCTGCTTTTTGCGGATGATGTGGTCCTCCTAGCTTCATCCAGCTCTGACCTTCAGCTCTTGCTGGGTAGGTTCGCGGCCGAATGTGAAGCGGCTGGGATGAGGATCAGCACCTCCAAATCTGAGACCATGGTTCTCGACCGGAAAAGGGTGGCTTGCCACCTCCGGGTCGGGGGAGAGGTCCTACCTCAAGTGGAGGAGTTTAAGTATCTCGGGGTCTTGTTCACGAATGAGGGTAGGAGGGATCGGGAGATCGACAGGCGGATTGGTTCGGCGTCTGCAGTGATGCGGACGCTGAGCCGATCTGTCGTGGGGAAGAGGGAGCTGAGCCAGAAAGCCAGGATCTCGATTTACCGGTTGATCTACGTCCCAATCCTCACCTATGGTCATGAGCTTTGGGTAATGACCGAAAGAACGAGATCGCGGATACAAGCGGCCGAAATGAGTTTCCTCCGTAGGGTGGCCGGGCTCAGCCTTAGAGATAGGGTGAGGAGCTCGGACATTCGGGAGGGACTCGGAGTAGAACCGCTGCTCCTCCGGATCGAAAGGAGCCAGTTGAGGTGGTTTGGGCATCTGGTCAGGATGCCTCCTGGACGCCTCCCCGGGGAGGTGTTTCGGGCATGTCCTGCCGGCAGAAGGCCCCCGGGTCGACCCAGGACACGTTGGAGAGGTTACATCTCCAATATGGTCCGGGAACGCCTTGGGGTCCTGCCGGAGGAGCTGGTGGACAACGCCGGGGAGAGGACAGCCTGGAGCTCCCTAATTGGGATGCTGCCCCCGCGACCCGGACCCGGATAAGCGGAGGAAGACGAAGACGAAGACGAAGACAATTCATCCAAAACATCCAGTCATGTAGGGCTGCAACTAACGATTATTTTCATAATCGATTAATCTGTCGATTATTTTTTTTTCCGATTAATCGATTAATCGGTTTGTTATTGTTTAGCTATTTAACCTATACAAGTGATGGATGCATTTCAGTTAAGAAAAAAAAAACATAAGAGAATTGTGCAGTTGACTGCAATCTATTTTATTGCACATGAACACAGTCAGCAGTATAAAATGAGCTAAACAGTGCAAAATATCAGTCCAGAATAATTTTTTAGCATTAGCTGGAAGCCTGCTCCTTCCACCATGGATAGTGGCCTCATGTCTTTTACCAGCATGTTTAGAATAGAGTTTGTAAGTGGTATGAATTGCTGGGGGGTGAGTGTCTTGTTCCCCATGTAGTTGTCCATCGTTGCTTGTTTTTTTTTCTGCATAAGAAACACAAATAGACTGAAATAAGTACACATATAAAATAAAGCAGCACACACACTACAACACTAAATCAATATTATATTATTTGAATTAATTAACAATATACAGTGATCATTTATTTTGAGGGTTACGTTCTACAAAATAGCCCGCAACAGGAGATATTCAGAAAAAAATTCTAATTTTTTTACTATTAAAAAGCTCTAAGTAAGAAGCTCATGAGGTTTTTACTTTGAGTCGGGAGTGTTTAAATTAGCTAGAGAAATGTGAAAAATGTTTATTTTGTGTAATACTGTTTAAGAAACATGATAAAAATGTGTTGTGAGGCGTTTTACAGCGTTAGACAGTAAAACAGCCTTTTAATAGTAAAAAAAATGACTTTTTCTGAATTTCTCCTGTGTTTAAAAATTGAAAGCGTACAACTATGTCGTGTTATATTCACCTGGACACAGCTCGTCTGTAAATTTTTCACCGCGGAGTTGTCCTTTTTTGAATGAGGAACATAGTTATGGGTTTGTGCCGTTTTTCTCTTAACGAGAACATTCTTATAAACAGACGTGCTGAATTTGGCAAGCGCATGATTCACAACACGGAGGAGATTCACGATGGCATCTAGTCAATCAGAAGCAGAACACCGTAGACTGACGCGGCAAAAAAACATGTTTAACATCCAGTATAACGAACTCAGCTAAAACACTAAGTCCAGCTTGTTTATTTTCTGTTACTTACCGGGCTGGCTCTTCCAAATGACGGCTCACTTGACCGCGGTGCTCTTCCTCTGCTGCATCAGCCCCCACATGTTTTCGTCTCAAATGTTCACTTAGGGACGTCGTGCTTCCGTGCCATGCTAGATGGTTTTTGCATATTTTGCAGGTCACCCGTCTTTTCAAGGCATCTAGAGAAAAGTGCTCCCATACTCGTGAGGTTTTTGTCCGGGGTTTCTCTTCAGTTTTGTCGCTTCTATTTTTCTTCCGTATTTCCTCTTGTTCCGCCATCTCTCACAGCAAGATGAGCGTCAGTAACGTGATACGTCATGAAAACCGAGGGCACTCATTGGCTCATTTCTTCTTCTACGGCTCCACTGGTAGATCAGTGGCTCATTACTGCCACACACTGGCGGCAAATTTAACAGCTTGTAACCGATGTCAGATTGTGGTAAAAATAGACTATGCGGTAAAATATGATTATTAAACAACTAATCGATGACTAAAAAAGTTGTTAACTATTTTAATAATCGATTATAATCGATTAAATCGATTAGTTGTTTCAGCTCTACAGTCATGTCAGCGCCAGTTCCAGCGGTGGTCCCGGAGGTCGCACCGCATCCAGTTCTGGCGGTGGGCCCGGAGGTCGCACCGCATCCGGTCCAGCCTATCCAAGCGGTACCATCTGCAGAAGCTCCTCCTCCACTCCAGAAGCCGGCGGTCCAGAAGCCGGTGGTCCAGAAGCGGGTGGTGAAGAAGCTGGCGGTCCAAGAAGCGGGCGGTCCAGAAACGGGAGGTCCAGGAGCCGACGGACCAGAAGTCGATGGATGTTGACGCCCCCGGGCCAGAATTCGACGCCCCCGGGCCAGAGGTCGACACCTCCAGTCTCGAGGTCGACGCTCTCTCCAGTCCAGAGGTCAACGCTCTCTCCAGTCCAGAGGTCGATGCTCTTTCCAGTCCAGAGGTCGACGCTCTTTCCAGTCCAGAGGTCGACGCTCTTTCCAGTCCAGAGGTCGACATACTTTCCAGTCCAGAGGTCGGCCCTCTTTCCAGTCCAGAGGTCAACGTCCCCTCTAGTCCGACGTCTCCGCCGTCTCCAGTCCCGGAGGTCGCACCGTGTCCAGTTCCAGCGGTGGTCCCGGAGGTCGCACTGTGTCCAGTTCCAGCGGTGGTCCCGGAGGTCGCTCCGTGTCCAGTTCCAGCGGTGGTCCCTGAGGCCGCACCCTGTTCAGTTCCAGTGCCAGCGGTGGTTCCGGAGGTCGCACCGTATCCGGTCCAGCCCTTCCACGAGGCTCCGGTCCAGCCCGTCCAAGAGGCTTTGTCTCCGGTCCAGCCCGTCCAAGAGGTTTTGTCTCCGGTCCAGCCCGTCCAAGAGGCTTTGTCTCCAGTACAGTCCGTCCAAGAGGCTTTGTCTCCGGTCCAGCCCGTCCAAGAGGCTTTGTCTCCAGTACAGTCCGTCCAAGAGGCTTTGTCCCCGGTCCAGCCTGTCCAGGAGGCTTTGTCCCCGGTCCAGCCTGTCCAAGAGACTTTGTCCCCTGTCCAAGAGGCTTTGTCCCCAGTCCAGCCTGTCCAGGAGGCTTTGTCCCCTGTCCAAGAGGCTTTGTCCCCGGTCCAGCCTGTCCAAGAGACTTTGTCCCCTGTCCAAGAGGCTTTGTCCCCGGTCCAGCCTGTCCAAGAGTCTGTTCCCGGTCCTGCCTGTCCACGAGACTTTGTCCCCTGTCCAAGAGACTTGTGGTAATATTTTGTTGTATAATATTGGTGGGTGTTATGGCTGCTGCCTGTTGTCCCATGGGCAGGAGTTCAGCACCATGGACAGATATTGCTTCTGCTGCATTTGTCCCTTTTCAGTGCATTACTGCAGAAAGCTCTTGCTCCTACCTGATCAGCACCACAGACAGCGACAACCCTAGAATGTGCTATCACCCCCCTCCTCCCTCTTGAATGTGGCCGGTACAGCTGTTACCCTGATGGCAGCTCGGGAGTGGCATGCCTTCACAAAGCCAAGTCTATCAGTTAGGTAGGATACTATAGTAGTTTAAATCAAAACTTTTCCACATTGGTTCAACAGTTCAAAGAACTGCTTAGCCCACAGAAAAGGTTTGGGTAGACCCCTGAATGTCAAGCCAACTTTAGGGCTGCTAAAATCTTAATGTGCGAGGTTGCTGTACTTACAGCACCAGAATGGAAGTTATATAGAAGTTAGAAGTAGACACCAGTGCTTGTCAGGATCTGGGGTGAGCGCTGCACTATTTGGTTCACCTTGCCTCAGTCTCTGCAGGTAGGCGGTTCTAGAGAGCAGCCAACTGCAGTCAATTCCTTTCCCCGACCCGCCTCGTGACTTTTATCTGGAGAAGAAGAAGAAAGTATCATTTCTATAGCACCTCTCAAGATAAAAATCACGAGGCGCTTCACAAAAACAAAAAATGTGAAAATATAAAAAATAATTTAGAAAATGGTTAAAAATATATTTAAAATGAGCAAAATAGACAATTGTGATTAAAAAAATGTTAAGAAAGAGAGAGAGTGAACAGGAAAGAGGGAAATCAGTGGATCCTGAGGAAGGTGGAATAGGTGGGGAGAGCAGAATAAAGAGAGAGTGGTGATGAAGGACAGGTGCTATTGAAATGATATTTTCTTCTTCTTCTTCTAAGAGCTAAACCAATGATTGGACCATCCGGTTGTTGGTCTCGCAAACCACCACACTTCCCTGGGTTCTCTACTCATTACACACTCACAACAGAACACCACTGGTAGTGCTCAATAAGAGGAGTCCCAAACAGAAAAACACCATTTGTAGTGCAACTGGTGTAAAATGCTCCCTTGTTTACTGTGGCAACGCAGGTTCTGGTTGGCAGACGCAGCCTGGGGATGCTAATCAGCAGTAGTGGTGAGAGTTCTGTGACCATGTGTGTGTTTAATAGCTAGATTGTTTTGCAGCTTGTAATGGCTCACAACTCCTTCCAAGTCTAGCAGCACTTTCACATGAGGAAGTTTATCTCCAGCCACACTGGCACATCTTTCAGACAGTAATGCACCAACGCATGAATGCAAAAGTAAAGATATGTTGTGTTTAAGTACAATCAGATCAGATCAGGGTAAAGATCTATATCTAGAAAACATTTATTAAACTGGTGATATTTAAGCATCCGTTTGCAGGAACAATGAGATCAGCTCTGTGATAAACTGTCTCTCTACACTGTGATCCTCTAGAGACTGAATGTAATACCTGTAACGTTCTGAAGGTCTGCAGACTGCAGGTCTGGGATAGAAAAAGTTACGTATAAACTGTGTTGGTGTCGACAGATGATCAGAAAATACTTGAATCAGTAAAAATGTCTCTTCTAAAAAAGACAATACTATGAAATTCACAACAGGCACATTTATGTTTGCTAAAGTAAAAAATATATTTGGAGTCAAATTAAAAGAGAAACCCACAAATGAAATGCCTTCATTTTATCTTCTTCCTCTGACAATGTGTTATTTGAATTCAGTCAGTATGGTTGCTGTTATTTTAAATACATGTTCTGTTTGTTTTACACTCTTTATATATGTTATTTCAGCCAAAAACGATGAGCATTATTAATGATCTGTTGAATGTAGCTACCATTTATTACAGTTTTATTTCCAGCGTTACACACAGTGTCTGACAGTTTCATTAGATTGGAGTGCTACGGTTATGTTTGAGCTAATTAAACTACATGGACATGTGCTCACAAAGCACATGCATGGGTAGAAATATGATTATAGTTGTTATTGTCATGGAAACCAGCTGATGGTAAGTATAAGGCAACACCTCTTTCTCTGTCCGTCTCCTCGGGCTGCACAGAGAAGTGGACAAAAGTAAAGGTATTACAGAGATGGACTCTCCCCTCCCCCATACACACACACACACACACACACACACACACACACACAGATGCATATGCACACACACGAATAGACCCCCCCCCCCCCCCCCCCCCCCCCCCCCATTCAGTCCTTCTGGACACACTGAGGTAAAACTAGAGCTCCCTCTGCTGATGACACGTGTCACTGCAGCCAGATCAGGTATTATGTTTAAATGTCATCTACTGCATAAAAAAATGCTCACATATTGATGACAGTTGCACGTTATTTATACTACCATCACTTAAGAACAAGACACATACAGATACTAGAACTGCTCCTCTTGAGGCTCCAGACCCTGAGGTTTCCAAACCAGACCCTCTTTGCTCCTGGACCTTTCCTTGAGATCCATAAAGACCATGATCAGGATCAGAGACCAGGGTCAGCCCTGATGCAACAACCACAATATGGACCCAGGTCTAGCTTTGGTGGCACCTGAATCCGGCTGCCCCCCCCCCCCCCCCCCCCACCCCACCCCCCCACACACACACACACACAGAGAACCCTGCAGGTTGTGAGCCCTCTGTTGGTCTATGCAGCACATGGCCTTCAGAACCAACAAGATAAATAAAATAACATTTTTTCAGAGACACTTCTTATTGACTTTAAGTCCAAATGTTTTCTTTTTTTTTAAAACCACACCAAATACAAGTTCTGCCACCATTGCCAGTTGCTGAACATCAAATGAAAAGTTTTCTGATTGAAACCCGTTCAGAAGATAGAGAGACTAAAGCCTGGTTTATGCTTCTCCGTCAGCTCCACAAGGGACAGACACGCACGGATTGACAGAAGTGTTTTGCTCTCATACTCATACTCTTTGCAATGGCGGCGCTGTAAACAACAGCGGCGTCCTGACCAATCACAAGCTTGCGTAATCTGTCTCATTCGACGGATGTTTAAAAAAGTGGGCTCGACTCCGTACGTACTTGTGTGCCTGCCGGATCCCTACGCAAGGACGGATAATGGTGTTGCATGTCTCCGCACTGACGCAGACGGAGAAGCATAAATCAGGCTTAAAGGTAAAGAGATCTGAGGATTTCTGTCCCCCTAAACCAGTCTGGGTCTGACCTTCAGCATTTCATCACATTCTTTATCTCTTTCCTAGAAAACGTTAGCAATGCTTCTGCAAACGGCACGGCTTCTCAAGATGTTGAACTTCTCACAGAATGACCTTTTGCAAGGCTGATTTGCATTTATAATTAAATTGCTTTAATTCATGTATTTGTTTCCATAGCAACAGTCCAGTGTTACTAGCAGACTACTGTTGTGATTTATTTAATTTTTATCCTCGTGGAGTAGTTTAGATGTTTTTAAGGTATAAACATTTCATTTATACCAAATTCAGGTGTGTGTGACGTAAATGCGATGAGACGTGCTTCAGCATGGAAACCGAGGTAACAGAAAAAAGTATTTACATGAGATGCTAAGAATATGCCTTATTGTTCTGCACACACACACACACACACCTTCATGCATGACTAATCTCTTGCATATGTGTGCAGCATGCACACCTGGGGACACAGCGTCTCCCTCTCCTCATTAGAGTCTGGTCAGTAATCAGGCAGGATAAGGGAATTGTTAATTAAATGTAATCACACTGAATCCTTATGGCCTAATGCCATTCACACACAGCAGACACTTATCCTGCACAGTTGTCAAACAACAGAAGACATACGGCCATACAGGGAGCTCCGTCACAGAGACACCTCAGAATGATCAGTAGCAGACGCTCACACATCCACACAGGCTGGCACACAGACACTATGATCTCTTTCCTTTTACGATTTTGTCCACATTCAAGGAGGGTGATGAATCAAGTCTGAAATTGTCCATGCAGATACATTTGGTGTTGAATCCATAAAGCTCAGTGAGCTTCCTGTAGACAAACATTCATTTGTGTCGTCAGCCATCTTTACTTCTCATGCTGTAAGAGCTTGTTTCCAACAATGTCCTTTGATTTCAACGCTATTAGAAGACTTATTTTACTTAGAGGAGTGGTTCACTTCTGTAATCATCTGCAGGGGTCTTTAGTAGGAATGAATGCCTTGCAAGTCGTGCTATTGGCGAATAGTGAAACGTACCAAAAGGGCCAATTTTCACCTATATAGTGATCAACATAATAACCTTTCATCTACAGCATGAATCCACTTTCTGTGTGGCCTTCCAGAAGGTTCTGCTCAGCACCTTCCCTCCTTCATTCCATGAAGACAAATCATTCAAACATTCTCTCCCAAGGTTCCTGCACTCTCTGTGAAAGGCAGACGTCAACATTCTTCACTGAACAGGTGGAGACTCCACACTTTTATAGTTAGAAGTTAAATAATCATATGTGATGAATGAACAAGATGTTTAAATGAAATGTTTCAATAATCTGTGCTTAAATCCATGAATTTGAAATTCTTACAATGATCCATTTACATCACAAATCATTATGTGTTTGATTTAACAAGTTAATCGTTGTTTACCCTCATACACATTACAGTAAGATACGTATTAAGTTTTAAAACATTTTTGCATCTGAAGGAAGGTGTGGCTTTCTGAGGGATGTTGGTAAATACTCAGAAACGTATTTGCCAAACTTGGCCAGAACTAATAAAGTAGAATTACTTCCCGAGTAATTCGATTTTCAGCTGAACCCCGATTCGGCCAATTCAGGAAAGAAGCATCTCTTTTAAAACCATCTCCTTTGACCTTAAGTCAAAACCTCTCTGCGACGCTGCAAGTGACTACAGACACAACAGCTCTTTTCAGAGCTACTTCAACTCGAAGACATCCATCTGGGACACCTAATCTGCAGACCCCAGTTGCATCTCAAGCTGAAATCAGAGGAAGCTACTAATATCTGAGTATCTAGAGCCCCCTTCAGACAGGCCATGAAAAAGGGAAATGTTCCGGACTCTGTCCGTAAGACCTTTGTGTATGAATACAAACATCCGGATAACGTGTTCCGGAATTTATCCGGACGAAGCCCCTAGTAACAGGTCCGGACTTGTTACGGACAGGGTGGCTGATTCAGACTGGTGAGGTAAAGTTCCGGACAAGGGGGAGGGGGAGGAGGAGGGGACCGGGGGACGCTGTGCGCACCTAGATAGCCCGCTGCTGTAGAATGCGGCAAACCACGGCAGCTCACCTCCTACGGTACCGCCTAGACGCGAGACGGAGCGCTTCACGCCGCTTCAGTGATTCCTTTAACCATTGAGCTTCATCATCCAGGTCTCTTATGTGTCTTCGTGTGCGCAAAATTATGCTTAAGCGCCTTGTGATTTTTATCTTGAGAGGCGCTATAGAAAGGATATTTTCTTCTTCTTCTTAACATAAGTCCGATCCCCCCCGCCGCCATCAGACATCTGGAACTTTTCCCTGCTGTGTGAACGCAGCCGAAAGGACAAGTTCCGGTACAAAAGTGGTGTGTCTGAAAACACAGTTCCGGTTAAAAACCGGATTGAATTATCCACAAATGTTCCAGAATGTCTATCTGAAAAGGGCTTTGGTTTTGACGTCCGGTGACCTCACCACTCTGACCGCAACCCTCCGGACCACTGGGCGCAACTCATACAAGGGTATCGTAAGCTTGCATGCTGGAGTCTCGTGAGGTTTTTATCAATAACCAGCTCTCTAGTTTAAAACAAACACATTCTTTTACACCCAGATTTCACAACTTCTCTCAGATACAAGGAACGGTTGCTACAACATTTAGCTTCCATCACAACATCTCACATCCACCCTACCACATCTCATTATTCATATATTGTCATGTATAAATTATTAGTTTAGGACAAATAATTAAATTCATTTTATAAACTATTTACTAACTCTGTCTGAATTAATACGAAGTGTGTTTATGGTCCCTGAATAAGCAAAGAACCCTAGAATCTTCTGATTAAACATTCAAAGATCAATCAGATTGACATTTCATATTATATCATATATAATTAAAAATGTATTTTACTACAAAAGGAACGGTGCACCATTTCTTAGACGTAACATTTGCCCACAGCTGGCTTCAGACAGCAGGTTTCATCCATCCATCCATCCATTTTTAACCGCTTATCCGGAGTCAGGTCAAAGGTGAGCAGCCTTAGCAAGGAGGCCAAGACTTCCCTCTCCCCAGCCACATGGGCCAGATCCTCCCGGGGGAATCCTAAGGTGTTCCCAGGCCAGCCGTGAGACATAGTCCCTCCAACGTGTCCTGGGTATCCCTTTGACTCTTCTCCCAGTTGGATGTGAAAACCTCACCAGGGAGGTATCCTAATCAGATGCCCGAGCCACCTCAACTGGCTCTAACGTGGAGGAGCAGCGGGTCTACTCTTAGCCCCTCCCAGATGACCGAGCTTCTCGCCCTATCTCTAAGGGAGAGCCCAGCCACCCTGCAGAGAAAACTCATTTCAACCGTTTGTATCCGCAATCTCATTCTTTTGGTCACTACCCAAGGCTCGTGACAATAGGTGAGAGTAGGAACGTAGACCAACAACTAAACAGAGCTTTGCTTTCCGGCTCAGCTCTCTCTTCACCAAGACAGATCGGTACAACGCCCGCATCACGGCAGACGCAGCACCAATCTGCCGATTGATCTCACGCTCCATCTTTCCCTCACTCATGAACAAGACCCCAAGATACTTAAACCCCTCCACTTGAGGCAGGTCCTCATCCCTGACCTGGAATTCAAGACAATGGCCTTGGATTAAGAGGAACTTATTCTCATCCCAGCTGCTTCACACTCGGCTGCGAACCGCTCCAGCGAAACCTGGAGATCACTGTCTGATGAAGCCAACAGTAAGTAAGTAAATTTTATTCATAAAGCACTCATTGCAGACATAGAATCACAAAGTGCTTCATGTAGATCAAAAGAAAAAACAACATAATGATCTCAAAAACAGAAATACATTAACATGAAAAAAACAAATTAAGTAAAACAGGAGCCTGATGCGTTTCGCTGCTCTAGAGCCGAGCGCATCACCTGTTTTGTCCTCCTGAGAATTCACCTCACTGGTGCGGCCAGCGTGCACCCCGCTATTTTTGCAGCCGGTAGATCTTTTTGAGCTGCAGTTGAAAGGTAACTCATGAGGTGAAAATATTTTTATGTTTATGTATTTAGCAGACACTTTTGTCCAAAGCGACTTACAAGTGAAAATCAGCATGTTGCCCTTGAGGCTAACAACAACAATAACAACAACAACAACTTGACATCAATCATGGAGAGGAGGGAACAAGGAGTGGACAGTAGAGAGGGGGACGGGTGCAGGGAGGGTGCTAGTTAAGAAGATGCTCTCTGAAGAGCAGGGTCTTTAGGAGTTTCTTGAAAATTGAAAAGGAAGCTCCTGTTCTGGTAGTGCTTGGAAGGTCATTTGTAGAACGATGCATGAGAAGAGTCTGGATTGTCCTGAGCGTGGTGTAGGCACTGCTAGCCGACGATCCTGTGATGACCGGAGCGGCCGGGCCGAGACGTAAGCCTTTGCAAGAGGATTCAGGTGGATGGGAGGCGTACCATCTCGGACTTTGTATGCTAGTGTTAGCAATTTGAATTTGATGCATGCTGCTAGCGGT